CCCCAAGATTTCCAGTGCAAAGGAAATTATGACAGTGGACATGCTTTGGAGATCACTGGTGGAAATAGGATGGAAACGTTAGTCTGCAGCATCCTGATGACAGGAAAGCAGACTCCTGTGGCTCACAGAGGCCACTGCCATGTAAGTATAGATGGGATGTGTGTGAAAGGCTGGGAAATGGAACATAGCAACAGAACTGATCTAGAATTACAGCTGATAATTTTATGCCAAACCAAGTTATGCATAACATAATTTTCAATCTGTATACAGCCCTATTATTCCATTTTGAACTGATGTTTTTGAACATTTCTGTTTATTCCCAAAAATAGCAGAGTGAAATGGTGGCAAAGATCCTGCAAGGAGAAAGCTCACATAACTGGGAGTACATTGCACTCTAGCCTTCCTTTCTTAGCTATGTGGAGATTAGTAAATTATTATCTGCAGTTATATTGTGTGGAAGAGACATTCAAAACTTGGCCACATGATTCTGTAGTCTGTAGCAAGTATTTTTTTATTATTTATTTAAAACTTTTATATCTTGATCTTCTCAACCTCTGTAGAGGGACTCAGACCGGCTAAAGGGACTCAGACCGGTATGGGAAAATCTTATTGAATTTATTAGTTTTCCACCAGTGTTCACATTCTGTCCCATTTCCACACTATACTTCTGAAGATTCTTTTTTTCCTCCCAGATAAATGTACACACAATTGCATGTGCATTATCTTTATATATTTTTTCTTGTGTCAGAAGTGACTTGAGAAACTGCAAGTCGCTTCTGGTGTGAGAGGATTGCAGATCCCCCGGTGGCGCAATGGATTAAACTCTTGGGCCAGCAGGATTGCTGACTGAAAGGTTAGCGGTTCGAATCTGGGGAGCAGGGTGAGTTCCCATCTGTCAGCTACAGCTTCTCATGCAGGGATATGAGAGAAATCTCCCACAGGATGGTAAAACATCCAGGCATCCCCTGGGCAATGTCCTTGCAGACAACCAATTCTCTCACACCAGAAGCAACTTGCTGCATTATCTTAAAATGTATGTATATGTTCTACAACACCTTTTCAAAATTACATTGTGCAAAGCATCAAACAATATCAAACAATGGAGAAACCAAAACGGATAGATTTCCCCACCTGGATTCATATCTTGTCATTCAAATGCACATTTTAAAAACTATAAGCATAACTTTGTACACATTTTTTCCTTCCAAAACATATTGCAAAGCTTGCTAATCAACATATTCCTAAAGCAAGATTCCATTTTCTTGGTGGTCTCGGGAAGTGAGAAATAGATATTGCTATAACGAAACATGAACCCAGTGAAGTTCTTTTCCATGCCTAGTTTTAAGATATACTGCCCATTCCAGGAATGTACCTGAACAGAGTGTGTCTAGTGAAAAGCATGGCCTCTGAGGTCTCATAAAACAGCAGAAAATGTCTACATGCATCATTAGATTTGCAATCATTTATTCACACGTGCAAGTTTTAATTTGGAAGCAATTGAGTGATCCATTTAAACACTGCAAATCCCATTATTGGGTCAGATTCCATGTGTACTCAGAAGATAATGAATTTTACAAGAATTTCTTTTAAAAAATACCTGCACCCAGCAGAATTTTGATTGGATCCAAATGGACATCTTCCTTAGAGCTAGTTAGTATATTCAGTTTTGAAAACATTATTTCACCTGCTTGGGGAAGCTGAATCCACATTATAAATTTCTTCTTCTGTCCCAGATAGGTATTCTGTGTGGTCAATGTCTGGTGGGTGAATTAATGCACATAAACACCTCTCAATGTGAGTGTGAGAATGAGGTCATTAAATCCAAAAATGACCCCAGCTGAATTGGAAAAACAAAAATATGCAAGTCCCTTACAGTTGTATGTTAAGGAGAACCTCAAAATCTACTGATATGTTTGAAAAGATAACACAGAGGCCTGAAAAAAAAAAAGAGAATATGCTTATATTTAAGACTACCCAACCCCTGCCATGCGTTGCTGTGGCCCCATCTGTGTACATGTGATTTGTGTGTGTATATATATGTGTGTGTGTATTTGTGTATATGTGTGTTTGTGTATATATATGTGTGTTTGTGTGTGTGTGTTTGTGTGTATGTGTTTGTGCATGTGTTGTAATGCATTTTTTATTTTTGGCTTTTCAAGTCTTTTCTGCTGTGCTTTTAGTGTTTTTATGAGTGATGGTCACTTGTTGGCCTGATAGGTGTTATTGTGTCCAAATTTGGTGTCAATTTGTCCAGTGATTTTTGGGTTATGTTAATCCTAAAAACTAACATTACATCTTTATTTATATAGATAGAAGAGAATAAAGGAATAGATTGAGTGAGCATTCTATCTGGCTCATTCTTGGGTAAGAACCCTTCAAAGTTTTAAAATTTCTTCATAAAGTTGACAGGAAGAATTTTGAGATTTTAACAATATCAAATAATGGAGAAACCAAAACTGATAGATTTCCCCACCTGGATGCATATCTAGCAAAAATCTCCATTTTCAACCCATTTTATGTAATTGAATTAGAGCTGTCAATTCTTTTTTCCAGTTTCATTCTTCTTCTTTTTCTTTTCTACTTTTTGGACAAGTGTCTTAAATTTTACAGCAAAATGATTGGCATATAAAACACAGTTCTCCCCATGCTAGGAATAACTGCAACTAACATTTGAATTTGCCCCTGGGTGTATCTGCAAAAATGATGCCATTTTATTTATTTATTTATTTATTTACTTCTTTTGTATACCGCATTTATCAGCCTTGTGGCGACTCAATGCGGTTTACACTAAAAACACATAGACAATATATAACAGACATTCACAGACAACACACATATCGTCATCAACGCCTCAAATAAAATCAGATCCCGTTCTCACCGTCGTTTTTCCGTTCCTTGTTCAGTACACCGTCTTCCTGAGTTAGTTGTAGTTGCATGATTAACTGAACGCCTGTTCAAAGAGCCATGTCTTCACCCTCCTCCGAAACACCAGTAACGAAGGGGCCTGCCTGATGTCCGCTGGTAGGGCATTCCATAGCCGAGGGGCCACCACCGAGAAGGCCCTGTCTCTCGTCCCCGCCATTTTAAGGCCATTTTAGCTGCAAAGGCTTAATGCTATGGGATCTTGAGAGTTGTAGATTGGTGAGCCAACAGTACTCTGGCAAGGAAGGCTAAGGACGTTGTAAAGCTACCACTTCCATGATTCCATTGCATTGAGCCATGTCAGTTCAAGTGCTGTCAGATTGCATTCATTCCCCTGCATAGATGTACCCTCAAAGTGGCAGAAAGAAAATGCCAAATGATGCTCCTTTGTCTTGCTGTTGTGATTTTCCTTCAACTGAACAACAATCTGATGAAGAAATGTAGCACCGTTTAGCATTTCCTCTCTTAAAGTACATAATGTCAAAGGAAACTGGATGAGGTTATCAATTCCTGACACACATACCCCAGCCACCTTTTAAAAATGAAGCTATTGCATAAATACTGACATCTGATTAGTTTTGTTTTCATGATGAATTAACTATCATCCTCATTCCAGCCCAGAGGGAAGCCTCTGAGATTAGTCATTAATAAAGACTTCTAGAATGTTGCAATGGAGCGTCATTCTGGATATCCTTTTACACAATTGCACAATTGTAGTTCTATGATTCCATTTCAACTGTCACAGCTGCATGAGATGGAATCTGGGATATGTAGCCTGGCAAGGCACTAGAGCTCTCTGACTGATAGTCTCTCCCTCTAAAATCACAAAGCTCAGGATGCCATGACAGCAATAACTGGTATCATAATGAGCCCCCGATGGCACAGTGAGTTAAACCGCTGAGCTGCTGAACTTGCTGACCAAAGGGTTAGCGGTTCGATTGCAGAGAGCGGGCTGAGTTCCCACTGTTAGCCCCAGCTTCTGCCAAACTATCAGTTCAAAAACATGCAAATGTGAGTAAATCAATAGATACTGTTTTTGTGGTAAGGTAATGGTGCGCTATGCAGTCATGCTGGCCACATGACCTTGGAGGCATCTATAGACAACATCAGCTCTTCAGCTTAGAAATGCAGACGTGAACACCCCACACATAATTTTGGCCACATAATGAGAAGACAGGAAAGCTTAGAGAAGACACTGATGCTGGGGAAAATGGAAGGAAAAGGGAAGAGAGGCTGACCAAGGGCAAGATGGATGGCATCCTTGAAGTGACTGGCTTGACCTTGAAGGAGCTGGGGGTGGCCATGGCCAACAGGGAGCTCTGGCATGGG